CCCCCCCCCCCCCCCCCCCCCCCCCCCCCCCCCCCCCCCCCCCCCCCCCCCCCCCCCCCCCCCCCCCCCCCCCCCGCCCCCCCCCCCCCCCCCCCCTCCAAATTTCTACCCTATATATTTCAGCACTCCTTTCAGATCATGTTTCACAAAATTACTAAAGTTCTATAGATGAAAGAGTTCTTACAGATACAGAAACATCTTAAAATTCACCTATCGATTCCTGAGACAATTGATAAAGCAGCAGACAATCAACATGTCAACAACCAACGAGTTCTAATTCAATCTGAAGTAAGACTGAATATGTTTTTATATGCAGAAAAAAAATTGTCACTACTTCAAAGTAAACAAAATGAATGTGGTGAACTCTAGAATAATATTAGTCGAAACAAAAAATAAAGAAAAGCTGAGCATATTGAACTTAAAATATTTTTCCTGGAAACATGCTTGCGTACAATATTTCATATCGAAAAACGTTTTTTCGATGACAACATGTGTTGTAATACTTTTATTTAATATCGTTTCTATTACAAGACAAATAACGCGATATAAGCGTCGCTAGTCCTCTTCTGCAAGAGGTGAGAGCTATCTTAGAAGAACTCTATGATCATGTCTACGGGCTTGATAAGAACTAATTTTTTTCTCCTATGGTCAAATATTTATATATTTTCAGTAGCTTTGTCAGATAAATGAATTTATTTCACATATTTATTCCCTGTGAAGTTTTGATTATATGATTGCAGTTATGACAGGTATTAACGCTTTCCAGAAGCGACATAGTTAAAACTCTTCTTCTGCAGACATTTTCTTATCCTGCGATAGAGATAGCAAAAGGTTATTTCTTAAAATTGAACGGTGCTTCTATGTTTGAATGGCTGTATGTTGCCATTTAGCAATAGTCGGCCGTAAAGGGTCAAAGCTTTGAAAACTTCATTTGTCGTTTTCGATCATCAAAACTCACTATTTTGCGTTTCGTTTCACTTAATAATTCAAGAACAAGCGTAAAAAATATATACGATACACCTGTGCAATTTCTCCGCGATTCAAATCGACTTTTGTATGAAAAATTTGGCATACATGGAACTTAAGGAGAGAGTAGCTGTATGTTTTTTTGTGCTGGTGGGCATCAGGATAGGTATTCTTGTAGATATTTTATTTCTCTACATCCATGTCGATACGTAAATCAAATACCCATTTCCATACGAGTTATTGACAGTTTTCGTGAAGTATCAATCGTTGTATTTCTTATAAACATATTATTCAGCACGTGTTGTATGGAGTCTATCGAAATTATGAAAAATTTAAATAATTTTCTTTTTAATCCAAAAAATGGCAATACTAGAAAAGTAATTGTTGTAACAAATACATAAATATGAAATGAATCCACTGGAATACATGCTATTATATATTTCTATATCATCAAACAACAATAAACAAGTTTATGTTGGAAATTGCCGAAAATCTATATTCAAAAACAACAAACAAAGCAACTGTACTGTGGACAAAGAAATGAATTTTATTTTCTAGTGTTAATCGATTGTATCCAATAGATCCATTGATATCTCCTGTCGTTTTGGAAGATGTTGTTCGAGATGAAAGCATTCGATGATTTCGAACTTGGTTCATCATTTAATCAAGATTCAAAATGACTGTCTCTTCATATTTTTCAGTAGCGGACACCAGCAAGGCAATCAAAATGAGCACCTTTCCAATAGACTATGACTAAAACCAATTTTTCTTGATAGTTAATGCTTTCTAACATTTACTTCGAAACTTTATAATCTGAAATTGATTTCATGAAGTTGATAAGCAATTCATACGGCCTCTAGCGCATCGTAAGATACTTCACCATAAATATTGTTGTTTTTGCTATTAAACTGAATTCTATTTATGGTAGAGCTTTCGTACATTCGACAAATTGTAAATCTCTGGTTATACAATACTTGATCAATAGTTATACAAAAAAAAGAGTGCACTTTACAATATTTATACTCCGGCTAAGCGATCACTTTTATTTTCTTCTCATATATAAGAGACAGATTGTTCATGAAAATTGATACTTGACGCTAATGATATTCATGCATCAAACGTGTCAGTGGCGGATCTAGGATTTTTAGATACGTTGTATCTTAGTTTCAGAGCATGGGTCCCAGTTGAAACTCATGGAGGGTGATATTGGGCTCATAACAGGGGGTTTTATGAAAAAATAATTTGATTGATGCCTGCTAAAAAAAATCATTTTTAAACCACCACCCACCAAAACGTTTTTGGCTTGACTCATATTAAAATTTTTAAAACTTATTCGTAATCTATATTAAATTTCATCGACAGATTTCAATTTTCATTAAAAAATATGCATCTCATCGAAAGTTATAACGTTCTGAATATTTTTTACATTTCCCAAAAAATGACACAAAAATTGAAATTGTTATAACTTTCGATGAGATGCATATTTTTTAATGAAAATTGAAATCTGTCGATGAAATTTAATATAGATTACGAATAAGTTTTAAAAATTGTAATATGAGTCAAGCCAAAAACGTTTTGGTGGGTGGTGGTTTTAAAAATGATTTTTTTTTAGCAAAGATGAAAAAAATTATTTTTTNAATTTAATATAGATTACGAATAAGTTTTAAAAATTGTAATATGAGTCAAGCCAAAAACGTTTTGGTGGGTGGTGGTTTTAAAAATGATTTTTTTTTCGCAAGCATCAATCAAATTATTTTTTCATAAAACCCCCTTGTGACGGCACCGTGTGTCGTCACATGTCTTGTTTCTGATTTCGCGCGAGTTTCTCGCTATATGTTCTTTTTCTCTCTCTCTCTCGTCTTCATCGCGTTTTCTTTGTCGCGTTTTGAAATTGAATTATGTTATGTTTGGCGCGTCTAGTTAGTTGATACATTTTGTTCTCTCTATGAGAGTGTGAAAATTATTACAAGAGCTTAAAGATATATATAATATATTATTTGATTCTATCTAAAATATCAACTATTAGAAGAATCATTATTCGTTTTAATCTTAATAATTATATGAAACTAACATTGCCGAATTAACTAAACATCGCACCCCTATTATGAGCCCAATATCACCTTCCACGAGTTTCAACTGGGACCCATGCTCTGAAACTAAGACACAACGTATCTAAAAATCCTAGATCCACCACTGAAGCGTGTAGATCTACGCAAGACAGATTTGTTTTTCGTATGAATAATTTAATTGTGTCGTCTTTCGTGAAACAAATAATCCTTGAAAGAAAATAGTTTATTATATCTTTTTATTATGATCGTATGTGGACATTAGTCGCATTTTGTCGAGACGGATAACCGCTAGTAAGTTTTTGATGATTATAATAAAAGTATACTAATTACTAAAATGAACCATATTTTCAGTAGATCTTCTTTTGTGTTGCTCATCGAGAAGCTCAATATTTTAAATCCTTGAAAAATTATCAAGTTACACAACATGAATAAGTGGTATGAGTAATTCAGAAGAAACTAATCTTGAAAAAATATACGAATGCTAATATTAATAATAATATGGTGCGTCATTTATTTTTATGCTCTAATATTGATTTCAGTATTAGCGTGAGACAGAATTGAAAGAAATAGAAATTCGATGATTTTATACTACCTCACATATCAAACTCTAGTATGGCAAGTATGCTTGATCTACTTTCTTTCTTGAAGATATTCAGATCCTACACAGTTTGACTGAACGTATTTTTTAGATTAAACCAGTCAAAATGGCTATTGATACCACTATTTTTCGGTATATGATGGGTGTGGGTGTAGGACAACACATAGCAACAAAAATACCCACACCCACAAGAATGGCAAGCATATTACGCGTATGGAGCACATAATATGATACAGTGACCAACACACCTCCGACCAAATTACGTCTTATAGAAATTTTATTATCATAGGATTAATCTGAATAAGATCAAATAGCATAGACAAATAGAGCTTTCTTTTCTCTATCAGACTGTATAGGAAAAAATTATCGAACCCTCCTTTGAAGGATTATCATACCTTGGCAACTACTTTTGGACTAGCCTAAGTATAATTGTAAAACTTGGTAGACTGGCGGTAGCGACTACGTACATGTACGTGTTAAGAAGACTCATTTTTGCTAACTGTTCTATAAGTTGAAGATTAGCCCACAACTACCAATGTATGATGCAACTGTCAATGTGGACCCAGTTCATCTTTATGATCTTAACTTAGTACGACAGAAGTTTTTAGAAATAACTATTGTAAAAGAGAGGTGTGCTTTGTTATCATTTTCAAATCAATAAAACCTATTTCGCTCAGCTGCTTTGCATGTTAGGAAGCTTTTTGTGTACTCAAAACACAAAAGTGAGTACACTATAGAATCGGCCAGCGTGCCCGGCCGTTCGGGCGTTTACACGATAGCTCCTGAAAGGCTGATCCGATTGTCATGAAATTTTGTACACAGAATGATCTCGTCAATATCTCAGTCGAGTTCGAAGATGAGATGGATCCGTCTAGAAATGGCTGAGTTATCGAAAAAATTTTCATTATTGACCAGACCATTCCTGAGGGGGGTACAGGGATTTTTCAAAAAAGTTTTTTTTTCTCAGTATTATTTACAACATATATAAATCGACTCAATTTTTGCAGTACACATAACAATTGGGTGCAAATTCGATGTTTTCGCATTTATTTTTCTTGTAGACTCGAAAAATGTATGTGTAGAATTCGATGCGAATTCGTCCAAGGAAAATTATAATAATAAACCCATCAAAAATAGTGTTATTGTACAGTGCAGATAATACATTAGATTTGATTGAATTCAAATTAAGTAAAACTCTCAGCCCTATTCAAAGTTTCATGTCATCCGATATCTAGATCTTGTAATGCACATCAATTTTCGATGAATTTATGACTTGCATGCTAGATGAGATCAGTCTATCGTATATTCTATTTTGAAATTCAACAAGAAAATAAATTTCATATGTATTGACTACATAGATTGATACAATTTATCATTGAAACCAATGTCAATAAAGCGATTCTGTACAGTTCGTACATGTTCATTAAAGATTTCGATACTGACTTTTGTGATTGTATTATATTGTGGTAACCACTTCAAACAGCATGACTCTGTATTATTAAAATTGAATTGTTCAGATTCGACTAAAATTGAATATGAAAGTGAAAAATCTTTATTTAAATCCCGATTGAATCAACGATTATTTCGTATTGGTCAACGATTTTCTCATATTAATATTGATAAGCTTCTTCGCATACAATCATCTTCCACTCAATCGTTTACTTACTATTGTTCGAAACATTGTGGAGGATGGGGTGACCGTCTACGTGGAATAACTTCAGCATATATTCTTGCTGTGTTCTTGCAACGTCGTTTTATTCTTGACATGCAATATCCCTGTGATTCATCAAATTTTCTCCTACCAAATTTAATCGATTGAACGCCAATTGATCATATAGATCAACAAAAAAATTTCTTACGCGTAGATCTCATGAATAATGCATATGGAAGTGCACTCGCTTCGAATGTAAGTTCTGGTAATTTAACGAAATTTTGGTTAATATATGATAATATTTATTTTACAACGAATGCTGATTTTATTAGTATTGTTTTAAAGAATCCATTTTTTAATCTAATTAAATCTGAAATCAATATTCGTTCAACTGAATCAACACAACAAGAATTATTTCCATTCATATTTGAACTCCTTTTTAAACCAAGTTCAAGTGTTATTGCTAAACTTGATCCATTATTTTTAAAAAGTTCTCTACATTTTAATCAATCGATTATTTGTTTGCATATTCGAACAGGAAAAAGTTTAGCCTTACCAGGCGATTCTCAAATTCCACATCGACAATCAATTGTTCAAGATATGATAAATTTTATCGATAAAAATCTAAGTCAACCATATTCATCTATATTTATTACGAGTGATTCAGATCAAATTCAACAGCATATTCATCAACATTATGGTGATGATCGAGTGTTAAGTGTAAACGGTCCAATCATTCATATCGATCGGTTTATCCAAAAAACACCATCAAACGAAACTCTTTATCATGGTTTTCTTAAAGTAATAGCTGATTTCTACTTTCTAGGTGAATGTGATACACTTCTTAGAGCTCGAAGTGGTTTTAGTGAATGGGCAGGTCGTCGACGATGGAATGAATATTCAAATTTATATGTTTATTGTCGTGGAATATATCGAATGAAAAATCAACAATGGCGACGCCCACATCATCAGTGTTAATTAGTTTGTTTCTTTTATACTCATAATAGCATAAAAATAGAGAGTTTGATTTATTGAACAGAAGAGAATTGATGCGCACTAGTATTTCACTATAGTTTCATTCAACGGATTAAAATTCTTTGTATTTAAATGTTTATACATAATGAATATTAATGGAATATGACGAGTCATTTCTTCAGAATAGCCACAGCAGCAGCAGTTAAACCTAGAATAAAGAAAGACAAAACTCAAGTACTATTTCATTTATACCAGTTGAAATCGAAAGGTGATCGGGTTTTCTTAGAAAATGTCATCGTCTTTTGGTTTTCATAGGAAAAATAATTTGAAAGTTAAATATGAATTATTTACCGCCACCAATCAATAACAATCCTGTTCCTAGAGTAATTGCAACACTAATACGGCGTATATATAAGTTATATGTTCTTACCTCCAAGTAGTAGTGCACCGGCGCCTACTGCAATACCCATGCCAACATCTAAAATTAGCAAGAAATGTTTATTATGATTTTATTTAAAATATCAAATCAGCATACATCCTTCACGATTCATACGTCGTGTAACTTCATCTTTGAGATTTTTTGCTTGATGATTACCAGGTTGTATAAAGAGAATAGCATCGAGAAATTTCAATGCTTCTTCATATTCATTTAATCGAGCATTACCTTAATTGAAGAAGAAAAACAAGCACACTGCATTTAATCAAAAAGCCTAAACTGTGGTTTTTACCAAGCGCTGAATAATATAAATAATCACGTTTAGCATCATCACTTCTTGTTGAATCGTAAAGTTCTCGAAGTAATTGTAAGCCAGAACGTACATCAGCTTTAGCTTTACTTCGTACAAGACAATAGGCAAAAGAAAATTTATTTTGATCGGTCACTTGGCTTGCTTCAGCAGCTTTTTCATATACAACTCGATATCGTTGAATTTCTTCTGGTAGAACAATATCATCTAGTAACAGTTGAGTTTCTTCCATAGCTTTTCAATTGATGAAAATAAAAAATAGCGTCGTAGATAGTCTACAATCAAAACGTAATAGCAAAATTCTGTATTAGATATACGAAAAAAAAGAAATTAGTAAATATGACTCATTGATGATGTGTCAATACGGTGTTTAGCAGAGGATATTTTTTTCTTCTTTTCATATTTTTCATTCATAAAGAAAAAAACAATTCTTTGCGCGCAGATATATTGAACCGCATAGAAAGAAACATATGAAAATTCTTTTATAAACAGATATTACATGAAATCTGCTCATTTAATAATCGACAGAAATGTTCATGTTAATGATTTTCTTTTGTTCCTAGCTATACAAGAGTTATTGGTACGAAAAGAATTAGAGGAAAAACAAGCGTGAAAGAGAAACTTTAGAATCGAAAATATAAATAAACAAGCAAACAAACAAAAGATAAGGAATAATATCGATTAAGTTCAAAAATAATTGTTAAATATCATCATTAATTATTGTAAGGTCGAAGTAATTGCAATACTTGTTCGCAGTTTTTAACTGCTGTGGCAACATCTTCATGTTCAAGAGCTGAATTAGCATAACGACATAATTTTTGTGCTTGACTAATTACATCAAATGGGACAGCTAGAAAAAGAATAAAAACAGAATCAAATCGTGTTACACATGTTTAGGAAATCACTGATACAGAAAATTTTCCACCTCTAGTTATTCAACGATAACTAGAAAATTGTTTCAAGTATTATCAATAGAAATCAATCGTGAAGAAAGTAGAGTAGACGCCAAAAGTTATTTGAAACTATTCATATCTATTACTATATTGAAATTTATTTTCGCTTAAATCTCTAGCTCTACGAAAAAAAGGTATAATTATGAATTTTTTAGAAAATGTAGAATTATTCAAATTCACCCGTTATTTTATTACCAAACTCGACTAACTAATTATCATGCTAAAAATAGAGGTAGTTCGAAGAACCTATCATTAAATTCAAATCATTTTCTTATATGATTCTGATCGACATCTACTGATAATACTGAATTATGGGATAAGGTCGAGTATCTTTTCGAAGCAAATTTCATTTACATTTAGCGCCACTGTTTCCATCGTAAGCACCAGGATACGATGATGGTGCTTGCGGCATTTGTACCGCAGGTTGTGATGATGCTACAGGTGGTCTTGACGGAGGCATTGCAGCAGCATTAGAACTGCTATAGCTATCAGCTAAATCAATAAATTTATCAATATCAAATATAAACTATAAATATGATGTACGTACGTGGTTTTGCTGCTGATGAAGCACCACCGCCAGCTTTCAATTCACGAAAGATTGCCACTGCTCGACTCTTAGCAATTTTACCTAATGTTATAAACTAGAAAACACAATAACAAGAATTAAATTTCTATTGTTTGTCTTACATCTTCTTTAACTGGTCCAAAAACTGAAAGAACATCTGTTAATCCTCCAACGGTGTAATGTTTTCTCATAAGTAAACGTAATTCGTCGGCCGTTTTGACTTCTTCGTTTTCTGCTTCGTTCGTTTCACCAACAAGAAGGGTGATTAATTCTTCGATAGTTGCTTGACCAGTTGTCAATGATCTGATGATTTCATCGTTGGGATTATTTCGTTTTGTCTAAATAGAATAGTTTTATTTTAGTAACAAAAATATTCAATGCATACAGTTTCAAGATAATCAAGTACATTGGAAACAAATTGTTTTTCTTTTTGAAGTTTAAGTGCTTCATGAGCAATGTACATTAGACAATAATAAGTTATAGAAATCGTTTCCGGATTCTTTTCGTATTCTTTAGCTATACCAAAATGTTGCATAAGTTTCACACGTAGTTCTTGTGGAACTTGTGATGCTATTGTCTAAAATAAATAAAAAATTTAGCCTTAAATTTGAAAAACAAAATCGAACTGCTTACATCAAGCGCAGACATGTTTTAATCAATGATTCAAATAATTAATCTAGAAAAAAAAGAGAAAGAGAAGAGAAATTGCTTTTCTTGTTGTTGTGTTTTGCTTTTAAAAAATCAAGATAATGTTTATAACAGATAACGATTTCATTTAAAATATTATGTCCTATGATTCCATACGTTCTGTCGCAACAATTGTTCGTGGTTCAACACTGCCAGGTGGTGGTGGTGGTGGTGGTAAATCATCATCGCCAGTAGCCTAAAATTTCAATAGTGAATAAGACAATGTTTTTTCTTTTGAAAATATTTATTTCATTACTATTGTATCATCTTGAGCTGGTGGTGCACGTTCATCACCTTCAATTGCTGTTAAATAAGTGCCTATACGACCATCATCCAATAATGTAAATGGTGTATCTTTACCAACAACAGAAACAGCACAATTCTAAATCAATCCGTATATATATATATTAAATTTTGTTATAGTATACTCATAGAACTGTTTGTAACTCTTGGCAAAAACAAAACGAAAGGAGCTGCTCTGCTTTAGCGAGATATCCCCTATCTAAATGACGGTTGGCCTTACGTTAGTTCTACTTTATTAGATCGTGTTTTACAAAATCAAATCTTATTTACTTTAACAGTAAGTTCAACTTCATTTGGTAATGTATCACGTAATGCTCGCATACAATGTTTAATAAGTTCATCTTGATTCGAAGTAGCAAATTTATCTAAATTCTTTTCTAGATATGTTCGTGCTGATTGCGAACGTGCACCAATAGCCATGGATTTACATGAATAATAATTTGCCGATGGACATAATTGATATAAGTGTGTACCTTTTTCCTATGAAAGCAAAAAGAAACAGGGATTTCTATTGAATGTTCATTCAATGAACCTACATCATAGCCAGCCATAAGAAAGCCAACACCAAATGGACGACGTCCATAACGTTGGGTAGGAACTTGACATTCTGAATACATGCAAACAATGAGATTTTTTTATTTAATAAAAAAGAAATTTAATATTCATACTGTTGCTAACTTGATTCATTAATCGAGTAACTGGCATTGGCTTTTCAAAGCCATACGAATGATTAATACATTCCGTACGCATGAATCGACTAGAAATTTAAACAAAACAAGATTTACTTTTTTCTTATTACAATTATTTTCTTTTCCGTACCAAAGAATACGAGCATCTGATGCTAAGCCAGCAATGGAAACACCAATATGATCATCAATAAACATTATTTTCTTTTGATGAGCCGATAATTCAGATGGTGCACGCTACAATAATAGAAGGATTCAAATATTAGAATATTATTCATACGAATAAAAATTACCTTTAATGCACAAAGGACAACATGTGTGTTGGATTTTAATGCTACAGTAGCTGCTCCTTGTTTAACAGCTTCCATTGCATATTCGATCTGATAAAGTCTTCCCTAAATGACATAGAATGATGATTGAACACAAAGAATCGTCTTATTAATTTTACTTGAGGACTCCATATGCTGACATCGTGATCGTATTGATTACGGAACTAGAAAGAAAACAGAATTCAAATGAATAATATCAATACGAAGTTTTTATTGAATGCTTTTCAATTACCATTATGAATAACTCAGAAAGAATTTATCAGCGAAATTGTTCTACAAGAAAAGAAAAAAGGTAGATAGAACAGCAACAACCAATTACAAAACACAACTAGCTTGTAATTGTAATCTGTGTGTCAACTGAATGAATCATTCAACAGAAAAGTTTATCGAAAGATGAAAATAAATATTTACTGAATTTTTTCTGAAGAAAATCAAACCAATTTTTTCATTGAGAAATATCAACAAATGACGTAGATTCAATTCTATTGAAATTTCAAGTTTCATATAGATGACGCTAAAATACATCAGTCAAAAGTTATAATCTGGTGGTGGTAATTTTTTAAATTGATTCAATCATTAATCGACTTAGTGTTCTTTGAACTTATTTTACATGTTAATAATGATGTTTTATAGCAAGAATTTTTTTGAATAAATATTGACTATGAAGATTATCATTAGATACGGATCAGGTTTCGTCAAATTTATGTTGAAATCCAGGCAATCTCTCTCTTGAACTATTTCTTGTGAAAGTCAATCACTTGGATATCAGTATTTTAATCAGACTTTCAACTATATAAAATTGAAATATGTTTCTCAATAGAATCAATTACATTGTCAACCATTATTGCTTCGAAACAAAATCAAACTGGTTGAGCTTTGCGTTCTACGTCTAAAAAAATCCTCTAGTCACTGTTTTTAAATAATTCATAATGAAAGTTTAAAATGTTTTTTGAAATTCATTTTATCAGAACCATAATCTTCGACCATGCATGTTTACAAGTTCAGAATGAAATTACCATTTTTCTTAAAAACTCACACGGTATTCTTCAATAATAATTCCTTGAATTTGGCGACAGGTAGCTCGATATGACGTCGTTCTTGAACCAGGAGGTTATAGTCATGGAAACCAATACAAAGATGCATTTCTCTTCTCGGATCCTTTTTAAATTTTGTTTTGAAGAAAATAACAAATAAAAAATGGCACGTGTTCGATGTTGTACAGATTTAGATAAAACTGTTTTAACGCAAAATTTTGATAAACGTTCTTGGTGCAGTGTAAGTCCTGATGAAGACTGGAATTTTTATTGGTGAGTTATTTATTGATTTATTTCAACTGTCGAAATTAAAAAAACAAAACACTTGTCCATCATAGGGCCTCCGTTGTAACTGTTCGTTCCATATTCAATCCATCAAATGATCATCCTCGTTTAACTGACAATCAGTAAGACATTTTCTGTATAATAAATTGTGTTTAGCTTTATTCTCATTATATTAAGAGTTATAAATCATTTCCCAAATCATTATGAATTAACAAGAAAAGATTTGATGGTGAAAAATATCAAACGATATCGTCGAGAACTTGAAAAAGATGGAAATCTTCTGTGTGAAAAAGATGATACGGGAGTCCATAAATATCTTGGTTAAATTTATAATTACTAAAAATGCGAAAATATTAATTTCTTTTCTTTTGTTATTGAATTTCATAGATTTTATTCCAGTTACTTATATGATGCCAGCCGATTATAATTTGTTTGCTGATGATTTTCGACGAGATCCTAATCATACATGGATTATGAAACCAGCTGCTCGAGGTTACTAAATAACTTTCCTTCTAGTGCGACTTTCCTATGAATTATGTCTTTCTTATATTTAGCACAAGGTAAAGGTATATTTTTAATCAATAAAATGTCTCAAATAAAAAAATGGTCCCGTGATGGAAAATCAATACCAGCCGGTATGAATATTCTTCTTGTTATTTAAAAAATTATCAAGTTGAATTTTTTAATAAATTAGCTGCACCAACTCGAGAAACATTTGTTATATCAAAATATATTGATAATCCACTTTTAATTGGTGGGAAAAAATTTGATTTACGTTTATATGTTCTTGTTACATCATTTAAACCATTGAAATGTTATTTGTAAATATATTATTTTAATGAAACTTTATCGTTTCGATTTATTCATCATTTTCTTATTAGATATCGACTTGGTTTTGGTCGATTTTGTACAGTCAAATACATCTCATCATCGAATGATATCGATAATATGTTTGTTCATTTGACAAATGTGTCCTATCAAAAACAAAGTGTAAGCATTTTCTAGAACTAGCACCTTATTTTTCGAAACAGAATGAAATTGAGGCTTCATTATTGTTTTTCTCTGGAAGGATAGCTCAACCATTATCAGTTACATTTTCATCATAGTCCAGATCATAGGTCAACAAGAATTTTATATTCGAGATATTGATTTATTACGAAGCTCACTTATCAACAAGCTAATAGCAAAACAATCAAGTGAAAGTAGAATACCGGTTGAAAAAGAATCACTTTCTACTCCAAAATTCTTGAGAAATAAGACGAGTCTTTCATATAAGAGGGCCATAACGATAAGCTTTTTTCTGTAATACCAAGAATATTGTAGGAAGATTATAATTCCATACACGGTGGAAAATGGTCGATCGATAATTTACGATTATATCTGGAAGGGACTCGTGGAAAGAAAGTAAGATTAATTTTTATTAGAAATCTTCTATTTCATAGTTTTTCTTTGCATAGCTTACTGATCGTCTATTTGATGAAATGTGTTGGATTATTGTTCATTCATTACGTGCAGCATCTGCTGTTATAACCAGTGACAGACATTGTTTTGAATGTTACGGATATGGTAACGAATGAAAGATTAGCTTAAAACAAATAACACCCCCTGTATTTTATTTTAATCATTTAGATATTATTATCGATGATAATCTCAAGCCGTGGCTTATAGAAGTCAATGCATCACCTTCACTTACTTCTACAACAGCAAACGATCGTATTATGAAATTTAAGCTTATCAACGATGTTCTTAATATTGTCGTGCCCAACGGTGACATTCCTGATATACGAAACAAATTTGCTAACTCAGCACCGGAAGTTCTCGGTAACTTCGATGTACTCTATGATGAAGAACAAGCCTGTTGCGAACTGAACGATAAAGACTATCGCGAACAGAAAGCTCGAGGTGGTATTGTACCGCTGATATCGAAAACCGGCATGGCACTTAACAAAGCAAAACAATCATCAGCATGGAGATAAATAAAGACAATTACATTTTTCTTGTTTAGCCGCATTTTGAATACAGATAAAGAAAAAACATTAACAGAGAAACAGACTTATACTAGACACAACAAAGAAAAGAAAAAACACATTTGATTTTGTTTTTTAAGATCCATTTGAAGCTGTATTAGCCGTTATTGTCGGTGGAGGAATTTCTCCTCGATCACCAGACAATGCCTCAATACCAATATCATCATTATATACATGTTCAGCCTGTAAACAAAACAGTCAGTATTAATAGAGACAAAAGAAAAACAATTTGAATGTAATTACTATTTGCCAAACTTGAGCCATATTATCTTCGGATACAGAACAGATAACAAATGG